TTTCTTCAAATGTGGTTCTCTGTCCTTTTAGGTAGCAACAGTTTGATATCTTATATGTATTCCTGTTCTAAAATCAGGATATATGGTTATTATCTTTTCATTTATTCTGTGGATTTTAAGTTTGGATTCACAAATCATTTGGAAATATACTGCTCAATAGAATTTTATTTCTTAATTAAAGAACTTTGAATTGTTTGATCGAACTTGATGTACAGTTCGAAAGTGTGAAACACCTTTTTCTGGATTGAATCATGGATGTCTTGAACATGAATAGAGTTTTCCTTTAAATCTCTCTCACTGCTACTGCCTTTTCAATATTATTGAACCATAGTACTTGAGTTAGCAGCTTCTTCCCCTGCCTAATGCAAATATAATCCTTGGGCAAAAATAATCCACATTCCACATGCAATAGAAGTTCATTTCTGTAAAAAAATTGTTCGTCTCTCCTTGATTTCACTCCATTTCTTGGTTCATATTTCATGATTTATGCTGTGGAAGTTGAAATGTTGTTTTCTCTCTGTTAGATGGTTCAGGTATTTCCTTAATTTTCTAAAATCTCAGTATGTACATTTATGTGATGCGCATACAGCTTTGTTGCTTTTTAGTTTATATGAAGATTGATTTGGTTTGGGTTATATCTTATTTTCCATTCTGTCTTCTGTTGTGTTAGATACTGAGATTTCTTCTTGCAGATCATTATTCTTGACCCTTTTTTATTGTAGTTGATTTATGAGGATATTTGATGATATTTTGCAAATTGTATAATGAGCATATCATTCTTGGCAGGCTGATTCTTTGATAAGAGAGGAGGCTGAGTATCTTCATGTGGCAATGAGGCATGAAGTTGAAACACTTGATGATTTTGTTGAATCACATGGTACCTGCCTAAATGATCTTATGTACTTCCCTACTTGTAATGCATACGGTCTCTCTAGTGTTGCTAACAATATGGAGAAACTTGCAGCACTCTAGACTGAGTATGATAATGTGAAGGAGAAGATGGATAGTGACAAGGTGAAGGCAGAAAGCCTTGAGAAGAAGAAGAAGTTCAATGTTCTCACACAGGGTCTTGAGGTTTGTTAATAGATAGATACTAATCTTCTTTTTAATTTCCTTTGTTAATTTTATTCCCATTTTCATTTTAATTTGTAGCTTGATATTTTGGATATCTAACTCCAGTTTTCAATGTTCCTTTTGATGATACTGGTCTTCAGGCCCCTTCTTCTTCTTCCTCTTTTTTTTTTTGTTTTTTTTGTTTTGTTTTTATTTTATTTTATTTGTAAATTTAGCATGGGAGTTGAAAGAATGCATTTAATGTTGAACTTACTGTCTTGTACTTGTGGGACAAAAGATTTCCATATTTATTCTATTTCTAGCTTTCTGTGACCATTCTTTTTTCCCCTTTCATTTTCATGGCAAGTGCTTATTTTATCTTTTAATACTTCTCTATGGTTTAAGGCTGATCTTTTTAGAAATGCTTTAGTAATTTGTAGGTAGACTTATGCTACACCTTTTTTGGTTTGGTGTTCTTCATAATTGGTATTTTGTAGGAACCAGAGATTTGATCTGCACTTTGAGGAACCCAAAGTCGAGGGTATAGAGTACTGACTTGCACTATCAATTTGTGAAATCCACGTGTTTGATAGGTTACTTCTTAGTAGTTAGTTTGTGCTCCAGGACTTCTGCAGTTATAATGCGAGCTTCTCTTTTGCTTTCTCTTACCCCATTGGTCCATCTGGTTTTGATGTATGCAGCAAGAAATAGCCATTCCCTTCAAAACTTCCATACCATTTCTAGGTTTGAACTTGGATATCAAACTAAGTTGTTTTAATGCTTTATGGCCAAAACCATTGTGGTTTCTCTCAAGGGATTTTTCTAGTACCACTTTGTGTATGGGAAAGTTAAAAATTTTTAGATGTTGATGATTTTGCAAGTACAGGTCATCAATTCCAAATATTTAACCATTGATGATTAAAGTAGTTTATATGGAACACATGTTGATTACAATGACTAATACAGTGAATAATGGAATTCTTTAGATTTCGTCCATTTTATTAGTTGTATATTTGCTTCTCTTTATGGCACTTCTTTATGACTGAACTTCATGGTTTTTTAACTTATTGACAGTTTGGATTATTAGAGACGGGCTGCAACCCTGTGGCGTCAAATTGAGGCAACCTTTCAGCAGATGGGCACTGCAGGAACTGAACTGGAATGTTTTCAAGCATTGCAAAAGCAAGAGAAGCTGGCAGCCAAACACAGAATAAATGATCTCTGGGAGGAAGTTCAAAAGCAAAAGTTGCTTGAGCAAACTCTACAAAGACGCTACGGAGATCTTTTGGCTGAGCTTGAAAGGACACAAAATCAGATAAACGTCTACAGAGCACAATCACAAAAACAAGAAGAAATTGCAGCAGAGAATCATGCTTCTGAGTCAGCAGAGGCCGTAGCAAATCAAACTGCTTTGTCATCAAGCTCAGAACTTTCTGAGCCTGTACCATCAGATGATCTTGCAATCTCTAAACCAGAAGGCAATGTCTCTGAATATGTTGAAGGCGTGGGTGTTGCAAATGGGGATGTCAAACAGACGGACAGAACTGTAGATATGCTGGAAACTTCAGCCCCGGAGCAATAAGATGGTTGAAAATTCACCAGTCTCGTGGAGATTTTTGCTCAAAATAGATTGGATCTGGGGATGAATGTTGATTATCCTTTAACTCACCCTTATTTTTGTAATGAAAACTCATCCTGTAACAGTTTTACTTAGAAGAAAGGACATCACAAAATTATACTAAAACAAACATAAATGACTAAATGAAATCGTTTTCCATCATCTGATAAATTCAAAGACATGAAAATATATCAAGACCCCCCCAAAAAAAAAGAGAGTAATTTTAAACTCGACTCTTTAAATTTTTACTCCCACAAATAACAATAGGATTGAACATAGAATCCATTTCCACTATTAATAAACCCTTTAAAAATTTTAATATAAAGAGCGTCTGTCTTCCTTTCTTTTTTTCTTTTCTTTTTTTTTCTTCTTCTTTTCTTGAAAGAAGGCAATGGAAATCTAGAGGATCTATCTGGTCAGGAAAACAAGTTAAAAGAGAAAAAAAAAAAAAAAGTTGATTTCTCTAATCTTCCAAAGTATTTACAACTCGGCGTTCGGCTCTTCAACTTCAGAAGCAGCTGAGCTTCCACCAACATTCCCGTAAACTTGTTTATTAACACGGTTACACAGATTCCATTTCCTTCAGCTTCTCATTAAAATCCTCCTTTGTGTTCAGGTTTTTATGGCCAACCATTCAAGAGCTTGCTGCCTTTAATGGTATGTCTCAACCTTATTCTTTGCATCCAACTCATCCCTTCCTTTTTCCTCCTACTCTGCTGATTCTTTTGCCTCCTTCACCATCATTTCAACCTCCTC